CATCTATATCCCCTTCGATAGATTCCCGTATAGAATAGATCTCCCTTCAAAAAAGTCGGGGAGGTTAAATCTAACTGGATTTTCTATCAAGGAATTACGCCATGTGTGCGTACACAACCCATTGCTTTATTAATTGTATCTTGTTCGCTGGCGATTGTCGTTTTCATGTTGTTTCATGGAAGAATTGCAAGAATGAAATAAAACCATGAATGAGAAAAATAAAAGGCAATCCAATCACTCATGAAAATAAAGTGAATAACTCGTTGTGTGATTTTCGTTCGTGCTGATCTTGTGGCAACGATCAGGTTGTTACTAATTATGCTGCCAGTTAATGATCGTATTAAAATAATCACTTGAAGTATTTGAAAGTTATTGCGTTCTGCTCTCCATTCTTGAGTGATTGAACCAGAGTCAGCCGCAATTGTTGTTTTTGAGATATGTAGCAGTTATCAACTTATACGATAAAATTTAATAGGGTGTTTCTTTTATTAAGCAATAATTAATAGCCAGAATGCACCGAAACATCTGTATGGATTACTTTCATGATGGATGATTGAACGGTAAACAAGATACAACTATCTCTCTAATGATATAAGCAAAGATGTATGGTAACGCTTCAAGAACAAACAGTTCATTCACATAACTAAGCCGAAGTAAACACAGACACATTCCGAAACAACTTACTACCTCATTGTGTGATCTATTTTTGCTAGGCAGCTGTTCTGCTTATTGTCAACAACACATCGCAGCCGTCACTCGCGAACAGCTTCTCTTCAAAACGCTTTTCTTCACATGGCTTTCATCTGTTTGGCTGACGCTTTCAGTTGAAAGCATATTATTTCAATCATTCGACGTTCTTATTTCGAAAAGGCAAGAATCTTAGTGTTTGATACGAATGCACTACAGAATATTTGCTGAGAGCACGCTAACAGCAACAGATACACACTGCTGATTGTGTTCTGATGGAAAAACGTGACGCAGGAAGCAGGTGATAAAATGACGAAACAACTAGATCGTTAGAAGTTGTTGAAACGTTAGTTGAAAAGTGATGTATGTTCCAAGTGACCATTAATTAGAAAGGAACGAATTAAGCAGATAGAGCAGTTACGACCGGTGAGATGGTTTGATCATGCAAAAATAATGGTTGACCATTATCAGATTAACGGTGAGGAATTGAGAACGTCGAAAGCGACAAATGAGCTGTGCTGTGTTCGTAAAGAGGACGACACACTGAAATGGTGCACAACAACTGAAAACGATTGGTAGTGCACGAATATTAACGAGACGAATGTGGGACGGACATTTGAAAATGTTTCAGAAGGCATTTACAGATAGGTGCAATTGATTATTCACTTGAAACGCATTCGTATGAATATGATTTCGAATCGCGCTTCTTTCTGACTGCATTCGGCAACTCTGAATTGAACGAAATCAATCAGCAGCAACAAAAATTCCAACAAAAATATCATCATTAATGATCACTGACTTCACGAAACAACGCTGGTCCCAAATAGTGGATAAATGAATAAACCGAACAATCAAGCAAGTTGAAAAGAACAGAAATATGAAAAAATATATTAATGGTGTTGTTGAAGGAGGCCGTCGGACGGTCGGGAAATTCCTTTTAAGAGGCAGCATAGAAAAATGGCATTTTAGAAGATCCAAAATGAGGTCGATTCTAGACATAATGCGTACAGAAGGAAGACCTTAATAGAAATGCATGATGAATGCGTTTATTCCGTCAATGTATTTACCTATCTGTATTCATATTCGCGTACAATACACCACACAAAAGACACAAAGGTAACACAGAACAACGCTCAAAACGAACCACTGCATTCAAAAGGATCTTGATTTGAGGAGAAGGTAACGCAAGGGGTCGTTCAACTGGTACGGACGACTCGGTCCTGTTCCGCTGACCGAATTTGCTTTTTTTTTCGTTCATCCTGCTCATCATCACATGAATAATTGTTAAACGTCAACGTAGACATTTCGGGTGAGTCAATGTGAATCCACCAGAGCATAATGATAGAGTGAATAGAATTATTTTGCATTTTCATGATACGAAACGTTTGATTTTATGAACTAGTAGCGTACTGAGCGCTACTGCGTTCGGCTGGATTACAGTTGAGATTAGTGTGCACCGTTCGGTATTGTGTCGGGTTGATAGCGCGATTTTCCTCCAATGAGAGAACGTTGCTCTTCCGATTTTCACCTTTTTGGGTTACTTTGCTTATTGCAGACAGTCTTTTTGAGTGGAGATTAGTGCGTATTAGATGCTAAAAACAATTTGCGGTCGAGAAAAGAAGCGCTGAAATTGATGAGTAATTTATTGAAGAGGAATGCAAGCAACACATTTACGGGAGGACGACCTCATCACATATTTGCTAGCAGATATTGTGCAAACACATCTAATGAATGCAGAAAATTGATTAGAAAAGAAACGGAATATCGAACAGCCTTAAGTTTGTTATCGATATGGCAATCGTGAGGTATATTCGTTAGCGTTTGAAATAAGTCGAAGACGGAGACATATTTGAACGAACGTGTAAAAGGATGCAGGGATGGATGGATGAATAACAGGATGGATGGCAAATGAACATGCCGCATAACCAAAAACAAGATTTCAAAATGAAGGAAACGAAACGAGATGACGAATGATTTATTTGTAGTATGCCGTACCATGTTACGTACCACGTCAAAATATGTTTTTCAGTCATCGTTGCCCCATCTAATGGAATCGCTCGCTCGCTCGCATGAAATGCATTTGGTTAAACAAGACCCTGAAAATTCCTCCAGCATCGATCATAAAGCCAGATTCCTGGTCTATTCATAGCTGCCAAATAATTGATTCCTCTCTATAAAAAAATCAAATCGTGTGACTTTTCAGAAGAGAAAAGAGTATTTCATAAGAATTTCATCCATTTCAATGATGATAGCAATCGTATGATTGTTATGCAAAATAAATCCGTGATTAATAATGCTGAAAATTGGTAATCCATTCAGATGAATATTGTCTGCAAATGTTATTGGCAATTATTTCGCTTTGTTCATAGCTTTTCGCTTTGATTAGGGACAGTGATCAGTGCTGGCTTTCATTATTAGTTTCGCACACTAATTACTGCGTTTTATGATGCGAATCAATGGTAATATCCGGCAAAAATGAACAGATCTTTCTTTGCTATCACTTACAAGCAGAGGACTGTATGTGTTTCTATCAACACTAGAAAAGCACCATGAAAACGATTCTAATGCAGTTAAAACTATCGTTTCACATAAGTTCCAATGTCAAGTGACGATCGAATGAAAGTGGTGATGATATGATAATGCAACATGGATGATAACTTCATCACAGTGCATAAATCGGCTGGATGATAAAATTTTCGAACAACGATACAAATCTGCTAATCAACAATCGGCCTTTCATGGTCACCATTATACTGGTCATGTAGTGAACCTGTTTCGAGTGCAACTCATGTGAGAAATTGTACAAGTGAACTATATGGAAATATTTTCTGAATGAACAACAGGTGAAGGATTACAACAGATAATTTTTTCGGAGATTCACTTGCAAGATTGACCATTACTGATTGCCGCATCACTCTCATGAAGCAATGCGGCCAGTTCTTCAAATTTGACTGCTGTATACCTTTGTAAATAGGATCAACTCAGTTCACTTTCAACTTGCAATTTCTACGTTCTTTTCGGACATTTCATTTACATTTTTCCAATGAACTGCACTAAGCTCTTATCAAGAAAGTTTGTTTCCATTGTTATGTGACACTTCAGGGAAAATTTTCTCGATTACTATCAGAGAGCAACTCGAGAAATTCGTTATCCTGCGAACATGTTCGTAAATGCCCTGAAATGAGAAAACAAAAAAAACTTTTAATTGGATTTGTCACGCAGGTTTTTTTGCTGAATCAGGCTCAAATACTGCACTTTTTACTAAATTCCATTCGATAGTTCTCATATACGATGAATCAAATGATAAGTGCTGATCTTCCGTGATTTCTTTACAGCTTTTGATACCGATATCATACCTCACAGATCACAGATCAATTACGACGTTCCTGTAAAGGCGTTTGGACATGTCAAATTAATTTCCCAGTACTTACTCTTTCTTGTGCTTTCAAAAGTTTCGGAGTGATACGTTTATGAACAACTACATTCAGCAAATCAAATTCGATAGCGCAACAAATAGAACACAGAAACTATGGCACGACAACTAAACTTCTTTAAAACAGTTGAGCATACAGAGTTAATTTCATGTCTGGAAAGAATGTCCAATGCAACATGTTGATTCAGAAATACTGATGAACAACGAATGGAAATCGCTTATTATATCACGAAGAGACAACGAATATTAAGAATGACCACGAACGAATGTAATGTATTATACAAATGACAATAATGAACGACAAATATGAGTTAAGAATACGCACTAAAGAAACAAGACACGTATAAATCACATTAAAGAGCACTTGTTTTCAGCGTGAAGAAACATTCTGAGGAATCCTTGGAATGTCGGTAAATGATGCTCCCATTATATGGTGATAGGACAGTTATCAAATACTGATTGAGAAACTGAAATTTTTAGCGTTGTAAAGTTACAGTTTGAGAAGCACGAGAAAACAAACGCGCATTAACAAACAAGGGACACGGATTTGAACGAAAAGCTTGAAAATGAGCAGAGTTCTAAATAAGAAAAATGTCGCAATTCTGCGTCACAATCGCGATGAAAACTGCGCGGCTTGATCATACTATCGAATGCGTCTTGTGCAAGAGCATTTCAAATGAACAACAACTGTCATGTGGTTCAGCGCTTATCGTAATGCATATAAATTCCTTCAGCCAAGTGACTTCTTTCAATGAAGAACAATTCATTTGCGACTGGATCTCAAGAAGGAATCGCGATGAAAATATGGCATTCATTACTGTCTTGTTATGGATCTCAACGTGATAAGCCTTGAAGTTTACGTCAGCTAAAAGTAATTGGACTATGGCACACAAAAGCGACAAGTATATGCACAATGTATTTTCATGAATTGCTGTTGCTGGAGACATACGTCTGGATTACTGTCGATCCAAAATTTACATGAATAACGCAAATCTCTGCAATTTGGATTCGTGAAACTGCTAGGTAGACGGGGTACAAGTGGCTGCTGTCGTACATTTCCGGTTGTATCTATCAAGTGATGGCTGTTTTCAGGACTTGTAAATGTGTTTCTTACGGGTGTACTCAGAGTCCGAGCCATACTTCTGACGTCGACTGATTCGGCTGGTTCTCTTCCATATCGATGGTCGAAACTCGGTTTGATCTTCGAATTTGCAATAATTGTTGTTGAATCATTTCTGAGTCGAACGATGGCACCGTTCACTTCTGCAGAATGCTCCGAGCTGGCTACTGCAATCTGCTCACCTGGTGATATTACGGATGGAACAGACATTGAATTACGTGCTGGTTGCAAATTGGCATCGAGGGGACGTGCGATTGGTTCGCCTCTCTGCAGTAACTCGCTATCTTCTTTCAATGCACGTTGGCGATCTGAAATAGGAAATCATCTACGCAATTCGTTCACTCATATGAAATTCGCAATTCGCTCACCGTCATGGATTCACTCACTCATATGAAGAAGGGTAAAAGAGCTCCACTAAATCTCATTTTTACTAGTTACCATTTTAATAGCTGGAACGAGACAAACGAAAATGGAATGAAAAGCCAAAGAATATGTCACATGTAACTGCTAACTCGAACTTGCTAAATGCGATATTTGTTTGACGGAATCTATTCTTTTCACGGCAATTTTTCTTGTTTCATAGAATAACGCAACTTATGGACTCCAATCAATGTTATCTCTTTCGTTTGCAATACATTCTGATGTGACAATTGTGTTGTTTATCCATTCATAATTGTCTCACAACCAATAATAACTATACAGATAAAATTTCTCTTCAAAATACCCAAAAATGCTTTTGTCGCTCACTGATTGCAATGAACATTGGTACTAAAGCACAACAATCTATGATATAGAATGAAAGGTCAGTTTATGGATGTTTCGACTAACGAACCCTTCGGCTAATGAGCAAAATTTTCGGCACATATTTTTTTCGCTTTACGGATAATATTGCTCAAACTCAAGGAATTTCTTGTGATGCTCTTAAGCGAAATTGGATGTAGGAGAGGATTAATGATAGGATTTTGATCGGTTCTTAACACAACTCCTGAGCTTATTGGGCAGCATTCATCATGTATTTCGGTTGTTTTCGAGTTTCGACACAATGTGTTTTTTTTGACTTTCGTTATTTAAAGCAGTGCTGTTCTAACTTAACAGAAAAAAAGTTCTGTTACTGAAAAGGTATTCAAGCCCTCTGGAAAGGAAATGATGAAATCATTTCATTTGCAAAGAACTCGGAGCTGGAGGTGGTTAACGGCTGGTTTTCACCGGAAGGGTTAAGGGCAGGATACGAATTTAGGAAATGACTACTGCGTTCTAAGAGGAAAACTTCCAACAGAGTTCATGATGGCATATGAATCAAGCCACGAGACTGTATAATGAGAAGTCTAGCCGAGCACTGCGTCATCGGTGCGAATGCAGTATCGGGTGAATAAACAGCGAGCAGTTTGTGCCAATTACATGTCTATCTTAACGTTATAGAATTCGGCATTGCCTCTACGAATGAATCATTTCAAATAGCTGCAATATGCGAAATGAAATATCGAATGAAAAAGTTTCATACACAATTGTTTCCTCATCAGCTGTGATGGAAGGTGAGCCCTGTTGAGTAGACGACGTCTGAAACGTAGCGCAGATGAAATCACTACTTTCACAGCTTCCCACGTTTCCACTGCAGTTGGAATGAGTTCGTATTTATTGAGTATGAAGCCATTAGATACTGTAAGCAATATGACCAACATAAACAACGAGTTATCTTTTAAATGCATTTGAACTGAATATATAGTAGGTATATTGGTTATTTTCTGATACAAGTATAATACTTCGGGACACGAATAAACTTCAGTGGGTCTGAAGTACTTGTTGATAAGTTTGCCTTTCAGTGGCGACAGTAATTTAAGCGCTACGTTAAACGGTTGTATGGCACTAAGATTGTAAGATCGTTCTCAAGTTTATGTGATATCACTGAAAAATGGTCAACTTTACATATGAGAGCAAATAAAACGATTTCGGTGATTTATCAACTATTTTGTTGGTGTGTAAGTGCATTTATGGTGAATGCGTGTGTTCTCATAACACAATATGAGTGAGGACAAAAGAACTCGATAAAAAATAGAGAATATGACTTACATTCCAATTCTGGTCTGAGTTCTACCAGGTAAACATATTTGACGCCAAGAATGCCTTTAGCCCAATCGTCTGAACCACCTGAAGCTGGTGCTGAAAAGAGGCGAATTTTGACACTCGTGATTGTCAAATCTTTAGTCATAGTACGTCTGGTACAAATCTCCCGTTTTTACTTGTTCTTTCGATATTCTTGAAGAAGTAATAAATGCATTTACATTCGCTGTTTTGGCGTTGGACGTTTCGGTCTATTAGTTGGACTTTGACTTCAAGGCTTTTTCAAAAACATATTGATATGATCTCTGGTAAACATTTATTTATCTCAGTGATGTGATTTTTGAAAAACTTTTTTTGTGGTTCGTCAAGCAGGAAATTTATTTGATGACAACCCAGTTTCGCTAACTTTTTTCTGATTTAATGAAATCGTCAATTTGTTAACGAAAAACCTGAAGACGATGGAAGAACTCTGCCCACCTCTGACTGTTTTTATATGATGAGATCAACTAACAAATAAATGGTGAAGATTATATTACTCCACTCAACTTTACTACAATCTCAGTGGTGCGTTTCGAACTGCTCGAACCGAACAGTTTTGAATTTTACATGACACCACTGGATGCTAGCATTAGACTGACCCCACTGACCCCACCAACTGAACACTGAGTGATACAAGGAACAATATGCAACCATGAAAGGTGCAGAAAATGAAAAGGAATGAATGCTTGAAAGTTAGAGACAAACATAGCGTATCGGCACCGGTCCCGATTTTGTACTGAGTCCCGTAAACACTTCGTAACTTGTCGACGGCTCTTTTCGCTGTTCTCTTCTGAAAAATATCATTACCTTCAACTGAACATTGTGATAATTCTCTATTTCAGTTGTTCATATAACCAAATTTATCCTAGAGTCAGTTACAAGTTTTGCCTATTCAAACACTAAACAATTGTAGGATAGCAGCAGAAGGGATTGAGATCATAAGTGTATACTAATTCGACGTGGTCCATAGGATATGTTCCTGTTTCGTGACTGTATGGGTGAATCCATAATTGTGCATAAGTATGTAGAGTTATGAATCCATCCAGTTTATCTTTCATCTCGTCCGATGTCAAGAAGTCGCGTACAGCTCTACATTACAGCTATATTAGATATGCAACAAAAACTTAACAATGGCATTATTATCAAATAAAATCTTGCTTCTTTCCTCAAAATGATAAGAAATTCCTCGAAAAAAAAATTGCTTTCTCTCAAAACAATGCAGCATATTTTTTATCCTTACAAATGAAAATTATGTTCACATGTGACAAAAGTTTTCGATTGAAGATATTTTTGATTTTTTTAGTCAGTTTTCTCCAACTGCACTGATCTGCCTAACGCAATCACTTGCAGCTACTCATTTTCAAAGGTAGATTAAAAAAAACACATCATATGTAAATAAGTTCACTCGTACTTTGACTCTGGTTCACTGAAGGCTTCTTCACCAGAGTAAAGATTCGAGCATGGATTCGAACTGGAGCCAGTTTCTAAATACTCAGATTGTAACTGCAAACAGTGCCATACGGATGAATAGAGGTTCATAGGAGAAAGTGCATATACGAACACGGAGCTGAATTTGTTTGGTTCACTTTGAGTCATTTACTATTCGATTGCAACTTGAATTTACAGTGATACAAAATATGAAGTGCCTCTATCAAACAGAAAAAACACTGAGAAATAACGCAAGAAAGTCGAGCGAGAATCCATTTCTTTGCAACAATTCAAAGCATTTATTGACTAATTTTTGATTCGCCATGTGATCACTGGTTGTTCAAACACTACACAAATTGTAGCGGAAACTGTCACGAATTATGAACGGCGGTTAAAAGAGACGGTTTCAAAATCCATAATTCAATCATTTTCTAAAGAACAACTCACCTGACCAATGAAAGTCAAAATTTCTGTTCAAATCCACTCCTTCACAGCACCTTTTACCACCCCATAATGAGCGGACACATTTCTGAGGTGAGCGATTCTTTCTCCATAATCTTACCTGAATCTTTTAAGTTGGGTGGTGCTCAGGTACCGATCAAATGCCACTGCCGTTGAATCATTTCAGTTCAACAAATTTAACAATTGTAGCAAAATTTCAGGAAGCTTTCACCCCCTCCCCCCCCNCCCCCCCCCCCCCCCCCCCAAAGAAAAAACGCAACAGCAATTTCTGGCTAAACGTGGCAAATTCTATCTGACTGTTATTACTCTTTCATACACCACAATAAGATTACCATGAAAATTGCGTTTGCTTACCATAGGCGACGGTTCAGAACGTGTATATTCATATCCATCCGGGTTGAGACACGGAAAGATGAATATGTTCAGTTTATCGATGAAATTTGTTATTCTATTATTGGTTCCGTAGCCTGAGACCAACTAAAATCATTTAGAGAAGATCTATTAGCAAAAAATACCATAAAATTTTGCAGAGCTAAATCATTGATTAACGCTGATACTGCTGATGTGTGGCCTCATTCAAATTGTTAATGATTCAAACACCATGATGAGTGATTTTGTTTGAGGGCCCTCGGAAATGGAATATTGCTTACAATAAATGCGAACGATTGTGCAAAGAATTCATCATGGATTATGGATGTTTGTCGTGCAATGCTCAGTTTGATGGTATTACAGTCAGTTATGAGGTGCAATGGCATTAGGGACACTAGCAAATGCTTCATGAGCGTGTTACCTGATTAATGAAATAGAGTGCCGTATGACTGGATGCCCATTCTCTTGCATGAATGTTACCGTCAATCCAGAAAGCACGTTTGTCGGTGTTATCGATTGGGTATCCGATCTGTATCATTTCATTAGTTCAAAAGAGAAGCTCCTCATCCATCAAATCAATTATATCAAGAAATGCATTTCTTTAATTTTTCGATGCATGCCACGTTCAGTGCTGTGTCATCCGATTTTTATTCATTCGCACAACGACCTTAAAAGAACAGAAACAAACGAACAGCCATTATCACCTCTACTTTCATAACGCATTATTCCCCAGCTGTCCCTCTCATATTCATACCAGCATCCTCTCCACTCAACATTTCTTAAGGCACCATTGAAATGCTTTTGCCAATAGTGCATCACTGTCAGACGTAGATGACAAAGACAAACCTTAAGTCCTTCAATTGGAATTCCCTCATGCGTGCTACCGATGCGTATCACTTTTGTAAAGTTCGGATAATGAAACTCGATCGTTCGCATATATTTCATCATATCCTTATAGGATCCATAATCACCAAATGAATACTTTGCTTTCAATATGCCAATTTTATTCTGTGATTCTGCTGCAAATCATATTAAAGCTATCAAAATTTTGTAGTTGGAAGCAGCACTGCAATCGTCTGCTAAATTAGATTAAATGCATATGAGTGCCTATAAATGCATTCGATTGAGCAGCATAACAGCGTATGCATTTAATTGTGAAAGAATCATAAACTGAGGAACAGTCAACAGAAAAACTGGATTGATTAGAGGTTTTTGAAACCAGAAAATGTTCTTTTATTGTGATTCACAATGGAAATTGATTTGTTGAAGCGTTGCGGATGATTTCTGGGAAACGTTAAAAATCGTATCAAAGAAAAGAATAGTTGTAATTCATTGATATTGAGTGTAATTGAGATGATTAGGGATTATTGGATACTGTTGGGAGGATTATTGAATGGATACTTGATCTATCGGCAGTTTCATCGAGAATTGGATCATCTTTTAGACGTGCTTCGTTCAACTGCAATGCATCTTTGCCTTCTTTGTACGGCCGTTCGTTATTTTCCAACGCCCGAATCGACTCAAGTTCGTTTCGTTTCATCAATCTGAAAGCATGACAATCCTTTCCACTATTCCATTCATTCATGGTTTCACCTTAAGCACTTTTTTTGCTCCGTCATCAATATCAATCATTTCAACATATTTCTTTTTCGATTTCTACCGTATTTCCCTCTGTGATCAAATGGTTTCGTAATGTTGTCCTAACGATTGAATCAACCGGTTTGATTGATCATTTCTGCATTTTTATTTGTGCATAGCACACCGAAAGCAATTAAATGTTCAGGCTGCATAAGAGTTGTGACTACTCACTTCATTACATCAGATATCGTCACCACATAATCCAGATTCACGTCGTGAAAGAGATTTTCGACAATTTGTTGCATCCAAGGCGGTATCATTATGTCCGCAAACTCGCCAATGTAACCGGAATCCTTCCATATGTCGAACTAGAAATGAACAAATTGAATAATATTCACTTCCTCGTTTTACAGCGAACAACTAAAATTGCAATGCTGAATATCTTCACTTCCAAAATCATCTGCTTGCAATAAATGGAATGCGCAGACAAGTTTTCCACTTTTATTTCACCCATTATGCTGCATCAGGCTCACTTTAGCACATAAATGAAATAAGTGCGCAATACAAAAATATTCATTCTTTATGTATACTTTATGATTGATTCTCATTCTCTTGTCAGCATTCATTAATACAGTGCTCCCTACGCTCAGGTGTTTCACTGCCCCCTTCGGTGGTCTAACAGGCCATCATAACCCCCCCCCCCCCCCCCCCCCCCCCCCCCTCCCCATCCCGCTGCAATAACTTATATTTTCATGCATCACATCAAAATTAACTTCCCGATCTCCTCCAACACTCTCCTGACATCCCTAAATTACCCAAAAATCGATAATTTCTTCTTCTAATGAGACCCCTGCATTAATACCAGAACAATTCATCATTACAATTGTAACTATATTATCAGCGTTAATGTTTCAGCACTAACTTAAGCCTCAGTTCAATAACAATAATTGCTGAATATGAGAAAAAAAAAGGTTTCAAGAATGTTTACCGTCACATCATTTAATTTTTTCATCACATCGCAAATACCTCGAATGCAAAAGATTGTTTTTTAACGTAATCCCTTTCAGATATACCATTCCACTCAATTAATTAATAAAAGAAATTGTGATCAGGCAAGCAATATAATCAAACCTCATATTCAGGAGAAGAATCGCGAATCCATGATAACAAATTGAGATGCTTTTGTGAACGAGGAACAATTCGATACACTTTGTATGGTAGCTCATTTGCACTAGAACGATGATATCATTATGATTGACATTTTGAAACCATTTGACTGCTATTGCACATTAGATCATGAAGTGCTTGCATGGCCTTCTAGAGCAGTCCCTCACGGTTTCAGATTTGTGCTTACGAATGCCTTTTTGTTTAAGATGGTGACATTAGTTACACTTTTTGACTGCTTCATTCATAATCTACCTTGGTTCTGGAATTACATCAAAAAAGCCGTGGGGACACTGCTGAGTATATATTCGAATTGTTTGATTTTGCTGCAAAATGCAGTTACCCTTTTTGGAAAGAGTTTATTTCTGGAAGAATTTAATTCAGAGTCAGTACCGATCTTATACAAACTGGCGAGCTATCGAAAAGAAATGAATGAGATGAGTGTTAGAAATATGATGCGATCAACTCTTACTTGCCGATTACACTCGATATCATGGAAAGTGCAAAAATCGGCAGTAGGAAAGCCAACATTGAGAGAATTCGTTCTGATTGTTCGGATACTTGATATTACTTGAACTTCTGAAATTATTTAGAGGCTTCATTCGAAATATCTGCTTTTAAATGCTCTGAGTGCCACGATAATAACCACTAATCGAATAAACCCTACAAAAATACGTTGTTTGATTAGCACCGATCAGCAAAATTAGTTGATATAGAGAAAGCTGATTTTTCGTTGTCATAATTATTGATGAAGTATTTGTTCTGCTCTTTCTTCATTACTGCTATTATAATTTCAATAGAGACTTATGACCAGCGATGCCTAAATTTGACATAATTGACTCAGCTATGGCTCAGTAGTTCTGAAACTTCTGCTTCAGCCCCAGTTCTGGCTAAAACTTTTTAGAAAATTTGCCTCCAGCTCTCTTTCAGGAATTCTAAAATTCCGGCCTCAGTTCCAGCTACGGTTCTGTGTTCTCCAAATTTTCGGCTGCAGCACCATATTCGGCTTCAAAATTCCGAAAGTCCCTGCAGAGGCCCCGCAGATGCGAGGAATTACTCAAAACGAGGGCTTCCACATGGAGGAGGGGGATTCCCCCGCGAATTTTCGTAACAACTCATGCCTTTGCAGGGAGACGTTCGTTCAAGTTCCGAACACTACTTTCGAGCACTGAGAGCGTTTCTCGTTATCAAAAATGTTTTCGCATGTTGCGGCTCACAATTTAAGACGCTTGCTCAGTGGTCACTTATTTCACTCAAAAGCATTCATAAATCACAACTATGAAAGACCATCCCAATAATTTGAGGAAAAATGATAGGCAGTATTGTTCGTGAGAAATTTTAAACTGAAATAAATAATGCGGAAAATTAAGGTTAAAAGTGAATTGACTGTGCGATCAATTCTTTCATAGATTCAGGTACATTGCACGACATGGACATAATTGCTCCCTTTCTTTTTGTAATGAATTAGTTTATATGCGGTAAGGTATTCGTAATTTCCAAATCTTTTCACTCTTTGTTCGTTTCTTGCAAACATATAGATAATTTTATAACCGAATGTTCCCTAATCTAAATTTTGACTAGAGGCTCCCAAAATTATAATAAAATTCCTGTAGAAAAATATTTTGAATGGATGAAAGCATCTCTTTATAGAATATAAAAGAGAAGTCTACTGAACGTCAAACATATGATGAACAAGCAAAACATATTACATCGATTTAAGAAATCAGCTAACGGCTCACAGTATGGCATCAAAAAATACAGTATGAATGATCAGAAAATGAAGTTGTGAGCAGCAATCAAATAAGAGCAAGCATCTTAACAAACTGATAAACAAAATAGGGATTAGGGATAAGGTGGCACAGTCAACGTTAAAAGACAACAAAAGAAGATGGGAATGATCAACCGGTTGAAATAAACGCATCCGCGAAAGGGCGTCCACGGGATAGGAGATGAATGGCCGTCCTGTTCCTTTCATGTACATATCTTTTGTTGAATTGTGCATAGATATGCGTGCATGTGTGCGATGACACCAAATAACGAAACAATCACTGATGAATTTGTTGATGGATGGCATCTATTCTATCCAGTTTCTTCCTATGAAACTTATCCATAAGGCAACACTTATTCGAAATTGCAAATTTCTTCATGAAACCCGGCGATTACGTTTACACATTTATAATTCGTTCATTTAGCCTTTATCAGCTCGTCAGATCACTAGCATATGCTTAATTGAAAGTTTCTCTTTGTTTAGGGCTGACATTAATCCATTTTTCCCATTCATCTCGAAACTAATTGCATCCATAAACTGTATCAAGTACTCTTATGCAAACGAGAAAATAGTTCGAAAATCATCAAAATATTCTAATAGCGTCGAAATATTTTCTGTTCCGATCGTCGAAACTGCTTCTCCTAAGAATTTTCAATTGTTGAATTTTAGTCGCTCGCTAATAGCCTAGAACAAGTTTGATTAATAATGAAAATTTGAAGTTTCAGTTTTTTGTTATGTTAGACAGAAATTTCAGAGAACCGACCAATTAGTACGCCTAAAAAAATGCCTTACATTTTGCAGCCGCTTGTATGCTTTCAGTAGATGCTTATGTGACTTTTCTATTATTTTAAATTACTAGATTGAAGAAAATCTTTACGTTGACGTTATTATCAAGTTAACATATTTCGAAATTTTTGTCATCCTAATTGGATTTTCAAAGAACTACTTCACGTTCACACTATCACAACAGCTGTAAATGGAACCTTGTGACTCTTGGGTTCTTTTATATTCATTACATTTTCGTTTTTAGCGTATGGAATTTTAACAACTGCATCAGAGTTAAACTCGCATCAGGGAAAGATGACTAAATAGCGTTGCCTGCTAGGTACACGTCTTTATTAGATGACATCGCATGTTAAGAACGTAACGATAATTTGGCAGGTCATTCAGTACAGCAACGAAAATGTGTCGATATGTTCAGATTTTGGAATGAACAAAAAGAAGAAAGATTCCTCGTTCAGTTCAACTTCGACGACAGCAAAAAAAAACTAGATGACACTGCACGTTATAAATCTGCATGTTTCTTAGAAAGATCACCCTAAAAAGAAGCGTTGCTGTGGTCACCTCTGAAGATCACATCTCATTCTGTCACACAGACATTTCAAACAATGAACATCAATTAATGATTGTTTCAAATAAGGAAACTGACCCATTATTCACTTGGTGTCATTTAATTCTTTTTTGCATCTGATATCCACGATATGAAAAGTGCATTGAAGGAAACGACAAAATTTTCAGCTATCAAATTCATGAATAGAACATTTAGATCTTGAAAAAGTGCTGAGACGTTTCTGTAATCAGGTGCATCCTATGCATGAGCAATACCAAACACATCAGGTATATCACGTTTTGCAACTTCTCAACCAGTTCACGATTGTTGACGTGTTTATTCAACAGGAAATACAAATCTGCACAACATTTCGAGAACTTTTCGAAAAACTTTTCTGCTTCATTCATGTGTGTAACTTTGATGTATTGAAATTTGCAGATTGCTTTTCGTGATAGTAATAATAGCTCTGTCTGGTTCGTGCACTCGAGGAGAACGATACCGACAATTCATTACCTTGATCATAACGATGACGCATATACAATATCGAAGTGAAAGAGAGAAAAAATTCAGAAGGGAATTCAATAATTGTGATTCAGTTTTGCCATTTGATGCTCACCCATTCTGTTGAAATATCGTCTTCAGATTGTTTCACACTGAACAACACGATGGAAACTAAACGAAAAGACTGTAAAAATATACGAATGCTTCATGATGAAATGCTAATGATTCATATTCGCATAATACAATTTATTTTTTGTCACTTACTCGACTTCTCCTATTTAACAATGTCTCAAGAATTGAGCAATGCTCAGTGACAAATGTGTTCACCATCATTTCTTAATGTTCGTTTAGTTTCCAAATTGTCGACCATTTTGCAATGCACTTTCTTTGCTGCGATTAGCTTCAACTTTTTGTGCTCATATAGAATTGAATTTTTCAAGTCTGTTGCCACAATAACAATAATAATAATAATAATAAATATGTCCAATAACATAAACACAAGGAAAAATGATATAAAATTTTTAGGTGCACTGATCTACTGTTGCAGAACTCATTTAGCTTTAGACCGGTGATACGTGCTGATCGCATTTCGCATAACTAATATTTTTGTGCGTTTCGTTGTTGCAACATTGTTTGTAGCGGGCATCAGGAAATGAGGTGTTTCGAGAGAACATTTAAAAGGGTCTTTGAGTGCGTGTGATTTCCAAGAGAAAAACAAAATGTGTGCGGGAAGCATTATTAATGCAGTGTCATTATTAATGCATTGGCTGCAACTCCAACAAAAAAATATCATAGTGCATTGGAATTAAACCAATAGTTTGTTCCAACTACGTTTCAGTGGAAAAATTTCACTCCCTAACTATCGCTTACACGTTAGAACAATAATAGGATGCCTCAAAATGATAGGTTTATTTTGATCACCGTGGAAAAATCTTTACTACCATATGTATCAATGAATAAGGAGGATTATTTCGTTTTACGTTATGAGAAGTTCGAATTCAATATTTTGATTTATGAATGAAATGTTTTTTATTGCTTTTGGTCGACTGATAATGCGTTTTCTGTTCAATGTTCTCAAAATTCTGATATCCTCCTCAAAGGATTTTTATTCCTACGCAATCGTTAGTGTTCTCCTGGATTTTTCATCTTTCAATCTTTTATTTTTTTCTAAGCAATTGTCCACTGATGTTTACAAGATTTCGATGACATTCTCTCGCACACAGCATTTGCCTTAATGATTAATGATTGATCCACAAAGTATAGACCAGTGATTGCCGAACATTTTTGAATAACGGCTTCCTCCACGAGACGTTACTTCGCAAATGCCTCTCATCAAAGAAAGCATCCGATTGAGGAAATTCACCAATACGATGTAGTAAAGCAAAAATCTTTCTGTGGGAAACTGTAGTACATGGCTGCAGCAAGCTAGTATCGCACTCATTTTGCGATTTGATCTCTACCGTTATGCTGAACCCGACTGTTTTCCGAGTTGAAATCGCTACAGAATTTGAGAACTATTATTCTGAATTTCCAAAATTTTCTTTGGGCTGTTCGGTATTCAACATTATGATTTGTTGCCAGTGAATTTCAGATGTTTCGTCAGCATGAAGATCGTTTGGTAGAGGATAACGGTGACGTGAAGGCGACAACAATAACGCGAACAACATTCCAGGAAAGAACACTGCATGCTGATGATCGTGTTTCAGATAACAACTCATTTTCACAACCATCAAAATTCGTCCATGCAACGCATTCGTTAGATCCATATGTTCCACATCGCTCTCGTGGGCGAATCACATCAGACAAAAGTTATGCGCCCGAAAATGAGTGCTTCCGATGTGAAAGTTGTCAGTATTATGATTTGCGCAAAGCATGCATAGCGGATGGAAGTGATACCGTAAGTGAAAATGTAAGAATAGTACCGATCAGAAGAATAGGAAGATCACTTGGACGATCATCATTAGAGCATATCTACGAGTCGAGATCATGTTCCACTGGACCAGATTCTCGGCAGTGCTCACAATCAGCAAACTGGATGCAACATGCCAATGAAAATGAGTATTGCCGTCAAACTGACAACGCTTGCCGCAGTTACCGTCGCACGATGTCCATGCCAAATGAGCAACGTTTCCTTCCAGGCCATTCAATGGCTCAGGAATCAGGAGACATCGAAACAACCGAAGCGATGGATCGTAAAGTATTGCTGAGGAATTATCGTTTTAAGCATGTGACACACCATATCGATAATCGAGCAGATTTTGAGTATGCATCAAATCAACAACCACTTCACACTGGTGATACACAATTCCTCCACAACGGCAAAAAGCAGCTGTCAAATGACATCGCAAACATTTCAAATTCGAAAAAATATCAATGTGACCAACCAGGATTGGAATTTGCAGAACAAGTGCTAGCTTCAAGAGGTGCAAAAGAGTTTGTTGATTCACCGCAAAAATACTGGCGTATAAACAACATAAAAAGAACAGGCTGTGATCAGATGGAATTTGATAATCAGAACCCAATACAAACAAGAGGTGATTCCAATGAAGCACCAGGGAAACAATTTAAGGAAAATTTCTCAAAGAATGGTAAGCAGGACAGTGGCGAAGAAGAGAATAAAAATGGGAAAAATACAGTTTATATATCTAGATACGACTTACCGATCACTTCACCACAACAGTCACCGGAGTTAGAACAAGTTTCTCTGAGCAAAGAACCCTGCAAAGAGAAGAGTTTCGTTTCCAGACAAATTGAAAAATTCGAATCACTGAATTGCAACACTTATGATGAGCACAGTTACGGAACACTTAATTTGGATAAAAAATCTGACGAACTATCAGTGGTGCCAGTATCTGGGGTTCATGTCCCAGAACATACACAGACTTACGGAGAGTTTACTGGAAGCACAGGAAAATCTCATGCTGCATTTGAGAGGAACTATTTAAATAAGGAATATGATCATGAGCATAAAACGATAAGCGATAACGCAATCGCAGAATTTGAGCGAGCGATGGTTGATAAAAATACGAATTCAAGGAGATTCGATGATGATGGTCAAGCGGATACCAGCAAACCGCCGCTTTATTCCAGATGTGAATCAGAAGAGCACAACACGGATGCACATTCATGTGTTGACAAACATAGAAAAGTAACATTTCAAACTGAAATCGGTGATCTAAAATCAGATGATTTGAAGGCATCGCAAGATGAACGCATTGCAGAAAAAGAACTAATTGATGTTTATTCTGGCAATAAAAATGAGCAAAGTATTAGTCATCAAGATTTAGTGAAGGCTCAAGAACGAGTTCGACGAAGTGCCATTCAGACTGATTCAACAGCTGTTGATAACGTCGGAGAACATCATACTCTATTGAATGCGGAAAACTTTTCGAGTGCCAGAGAAATGGGCGAATTACGGGCATTAGAAAGTGTTTCGCCGGATTATTCAAATTCTACGAATTGTGAGTTTGTTCAATCACTTTTCTTTGCTTCGATTTTGTCTAGGAAGGTGTGAATATTGCCTAAGAGATGCAATTACCTGATTCCTCGCTTGTGTTGTAGGACTGATGTTAACATGATCCGGAGGTCTCAGTCAATTTCGAAGAGTGCCGTTGATCAGTACTAGTCAGTGCTCAATGCAAATTATCAATACCCACTTCTTTCGAGACTATAAGACATTGGGAACTGAATGACATTCCATCCCAATTCTGTTCAAACACATTTTTCTTGAGCAGCAAAATGAGAAAAAAGACCACCCATAACGCCACAACTTAGCATGCAGAAAGAAATTCGAATCAACAAGAAAACAATTGTCGCAAGTTTCAACAGCATTTCGGATGGAACTGTGCACTATTTTGAAGGTAATATTCCAGATGAAATGGGGGAAGCCGACCAGCGTGAGAATTCTCGCCAACTTTTTTGCTCTTCGCTCATAGTTTGTTTTATATCATAAATCCACTCAAATGAAAATAAACCAACCGTATGAAGTAAAGTTAAATCGATCACCTCAAACTGTTGACAGATATTTCAGGGAATCAGTTTGAAATTATTGCCGTCGATTTCAACGTAAAGCGCAACGCGATCGCGCATCACACGGAGCAATATGAAGTTGCAAACGTGCAGCCATACCGGCTCGTTTGCCGAAGAGGCCAACCAGTGACAATATTTTTGAAAACTAGTCACCCTTACAAACCTGATGAGCACAAAATAACGATGGTTTTTGTGAATGGTTTGTTATTTATGAATGTATGTATATAAGCAGTGTAATGCGCACCAAAAAAGAGCTGCAAAATGCTGACAGCAACAACTGCTTTAGATCTTCTCAATGAGAATTGTAATAGACCTTACTTAGAAAAACGAGATACATTGGAGCGTCGCTTCATGAATTTCTTGGATTAGAGGTTATGGCTTATAAACAATTCGCGTTATGACTAAAACTTTCGGCGAAAACCTCCTTCAGTGTTCGAGCAATGCTCGGTTTATAAACATTTTCAATTGAACCTATAAAATTTTTCGTGATCCTCTCAAGCAAATCAGACGTAAAGTGGGAGCCAGAACAAGATTTTGATCGTTTCATAACAGTTTTCCACTCACAATCAGTTACGAGCATTTTCATTATTGCAAATTTTCACTCATTTTTGACATTCAACGCAGACTGTGTGTGCGTTTTTTTGTTTTTTGATTTTCAATGCTTTAACTGCGAGGAAATTGCGGCCATGAAAGGTCAACAGAAGCGTCTACAATGACAATAGAGTGATTCTCTCGGGTTTGAAGAATTTGGAGATTGAACTAGTTAGTGACTAGACTTTATCAAGTGTCCTCATTTATAGAAGCTATTAAATAATAATCAGGTTCTGGTGGTGAATTTTCAGATGCTAAAAGCTTACTATGAGGCAACCTCTCGAAGCCTTGTTCCGAAAATTACAGGCGAAGGCAACTATGATTCTGATTAGAGATCCTGTCCACACTTCTAAATCGCACTGTGAACTCTGGGAGTAATGAAATTATTGATCTTCTGTGTTATCAATGAAAATTAATAATTGGAGGGATCCGATCAGCTGGAATAAATTGATTCATTTTTCGTTGATTACAACGAAAGAGGCATGATTCAGTTTGTGATCAATTCGAGTTATGGCCAGACTGTTGAAACGACTTGTCGTCACTAGCATAAGTTTTACTTTATTGATTTCAGAAATCTCAAAACGTGAAACTGAAGTAGACATCGAAAACGATCATCATGACTACGAACGCAACGAAATCAATGACTGGGAAGCACGTATACGGCAACAGGCGGCTACTTTCCTCACTGTAGACGTATGTTCATTTCTCTGTGAAAATACAAAGAAACTATTGGTATATACACGTGAAGGAACGAGTATTAAGTCCGGAATTTTGTTGAACCTCGGAAAACCCTTCGATCATATTTTCAGTTTCCATTCGATAATCATGTGAATGATTGGCAAAAAAATGCAATGTATGTTACGCAGAGCCTGATAACAGACAGCGAATTTATTATAGGTTTTTATTCCGAGTCATTGTGAAATTGGTATTTGGAAGATGAGTCTGGAATGTCACCGTTTTCGTCTTCGAACGTCGTTCGCTAAACTTGATTCACCCATTTATGTAATTTTCAACCCATGGATTATAGGTATGAATCTTTTTGATCGCATACAAGGGAACGGTCTCGATATCGATATGGTTCCATAACTATGTTCGTTACAATGTTATTCACGTAGATACACTGAATGGAATCAAGTTTAAACTTGGAAGAGCGAAGAGCATAAATTCCATGCAGACTGGTGAATAATCGGGCAACTTTAAATTTATAAGGGTTTTTTTTAGAGGACGACACGTATTACCCAGCAAAATACGAACTGAACGAATATGTTTTGGATCCAGTAGGCATTCTCTTCAAAGTACGCACGAAGGATCGTTGGTTATATGGTCAATTCGAGAGTGTTTGTCTCATTGTGGTTATGGGGCTCATCGAACGTCTTTTGGATGAACGGATTTTGAAAGAAGATGAACTTAAAAATGCAGCTGGTATTGTACGAGCTCTTACTTTCGGGGTCAGTTTAAAGGGTCTATTTGTCCTACATTCGTGAGATTCGATTCGCGTTTTCGAGGACGGATTGCTCCATTATAACAATTATGAAAAAATTACACTAGGCTTATATGGGTTGCTTATCAGACCTACAAGTGATCATTTCTTCCATCTGCAGATAAACCAATATGTTCTGGAAGCCAGCTGGAAGAGAATGAGTAGAAATGACTTGGGAACATATGATGAGCTTCCAAGTTTATGGACTGGATCAACTGAAATTCTGGTCCATTATTTAAAATCTGGACACCGTGTGGGCTTTGGGCAGTGCTGGTGCTATGGTGGATTGATGACTTCATGTATAGTTTTTTGTTTCTCCGCTTCTCATCTAAATTACTCTGATTGGATGAAATCAGCGAACTTAGTTGAAGTGCCGATTGACAACAGTCTACCTATATCATAGAAGAAATGCCTTCAACAGCCGATTTATACTTTTTCTCTTTCTCGATATATCGCTGATTTGCAGTATGCCGGTGCTTAGGAATTCCTTGTCGTACAGTTACCAATTATGAGTCAGCACATGATGCGAATGAAGATTTGACAATAACTGTGAATTTTATCGATGGCAAACCATCATATGACAACCATGATTCGGTTAGCTTTCTTGATGCAAAACAGTTGTTTTTCTTTTTGATGCAAAATGCGATTGATAACACAAAAACCACTTCAGATTTGGAACTTTCATGTTTGGAACGAAGCATGGATGAGACGACCAAACCTGGAGAAAATATATAATGGTTGGCAAGTTTGTGATGCTACACATCAACATCCTAGTCCAGGTAAATCCTTGCGAAATTCACCGCTCTCGAAAGGTACGCGTAATGTTCTGAAAGCTTGCTGGATCAATAAATGCATCTGCTTATTTCATTTACAGAATCAGGCTACTATCAGTGTGGTCCGTTTCCAGTCAGAGCGTTGCTTTATGGTGACTTGAATCAGCCCTATGATGGAGCGTTCATTTACGGTGAAATCAACGCTGATGTGATTGATAAATATTATAGAACAGATCCATACAGTCACAGACCGGCATTTGCGTATGAATTCAAGTCGACTGACAAGTAGGATCTTTCTTTTTTGGATAAATTCTTCACTGAGATGAACACCCTTTTACTGAGTTCTTTCACTTGTAAGACTGCTTTAGTAACCAAATGTCCAAAATCATTCGGATGTGCATTCTCAGGAACAAAAAATCAAAAATAGATCTTTTTCAAATTTTATCAGCCTTCAAGGAAATATTGGACAATTTTCTGAAAAAGAACAATGCTATTTGTTGCTATTTTCTAACTGTGGTTTCATTTTAAACTGTGTATCGGATTTTACCTATAACTGGTAATTNATTCTTTTCAGAGTAGGCACCAAAATTGTCACCAATAATCCGAAAATGATTGAGTACGCTATGGATATCACAAACAATTATAAAGAACCAGAAGGCTCACAAGCGGAACGTGAGCAACATGAACGCGCACTCGAATCGATTGGTCTTCGACCATCCAGACAACGGCGTTTTGCATACGAACCGAATGTGACGACAATGGATGTCAAATTCGCCGTCTCCGATTTCAGCGACGTTTGTTTACTGAATAAAATGTTCCTAATCTTATTCAAATAACAACTAGAAATGCTGTCGAAAGAAACAATTGAAAGTTGAAAGAACAGCTGAAAAAATTTTGATTTGCCATCAAGTCGAACAAGAATGCCCGCTGTATTCACTCGAAATATTCATCAAATGACTGAGCATCGCAGGAGTGCTTGTTTCAAATGCCGACATTACGAGTGGAGGCGATAGACGCTCTTAAATTTCTTCGTATGGCCGATTCAATGCTTCACCATTCCCTCAGTTCATTTGCAGCTAC